GCTTTTCTGATCTAATCTTTGGAAAGGAGGAACTGGCATGTCTTGCTTAACTTTTCTCATTCTTCCTCTTATTGGTACTTACGTGTGAAACAATCACATGCTAAGTCGTTGACTTAGTGATGCATATAAAACATATAATAGAAATCATAGTACATTTCATATATCAAAATATATACATATACATATACCATCATTATCGAAATCTCTATTTATCATATGATCTTATATTTATCATTTATGTATATCATATAACACATTTATCATTTCACAACTAAACATACATAATATCATATAATTCCTGGAACATATTTCATGTCACCAAAAGCATATGCATCATATGTATTGAATTTTTTATTGTCTTTTTATTAGCCCATATACACCTGTGAGAACTTAAGGTATGTGAGTACATTGAGGTTATGCACTAATGCTGTCACCACAGCTCGTATAAATTCCCTCATAGGGCACCAAAGATTTGTTCAGTATTCGTCCCGAATGACTATTATGTCCCGAAGGACCACTAGATACGTCCCGAAGGACCACTAGATACGTCCCGAATGACCACTGGATACGTCCCGAAGGACTAATATACCCTCGACTCTTGGCATGCCAACTATACCACTAGTTCTCATATCATATAACATGGGCATTATCATTTATACCTTTCATATCAGTTGTTCTTTCCCTTCTGTCACATACCACATGTATGTGTAACTATATATTTCATATCATATCACATGTATTACAAGTGCATATATTCACGTAGATCATTTCATATGGCTTATATCATTCCTCATTTGTTCATGTAAACTCGCATGTCATAACTTGTTCACATATGTTCATATATACATCACATAGCACATAGTATAACATATAAACTTATACAGGTATCCATATACATATTTTCATATACTTCGAATAACAATGCCCTATAACTTCTCACAGTTTTACCTAATCACTTATTTCACATTAATTATATTCTAGTTTCATATATTACTTAATTCAATTTCACATAGCTTGTTACCTATATAAATATTTTCTCATAACTTATCATCACATAGTTCCCATAACATTTTCCTATAGCTTCATAAATCTTTACCATATGACTCATGTATTATATGTTCATTTCAGCTCATAAATCCTTTCCATATAACTTATTTTACATGTTCATATAATCACTTCTGTCAATGTCTCCTCATTTATATATTATTTTTATATTGTCCTATAAGTCAATGTTATTTAAGTTATCTCACTTTTCATCTAATCTCATAAGTTGGTTATACAAATTCCTATATATATATATATATATATATATCTAACTCATGTAATTTATATCCTTTCTCTTGTTATCATATAAATCATTGCTATTTTACATAGTTCATGGTCCTATAGTTACTTATAATAGCATGTGTCTATCTTATCTCATATCATATAGTTCTTTAACTTATGTCTTAAATCACATATTTATTTTACATAACGTATATAATTACATCCACTACTTAAACCAGTTCACATAACTCATCACACTAACATTTATTCACTCAATTCATGTAACATATGCAATACATATAACAAATGTACCCATTTTCATGTACTCATGCAAACATAAGAATCACAATTCAAATAACATTTTAGAAGTCCCTTCTTACTATAGTAACTCCATCACTGGCTCATCGCAAGCCAATGTCTATTTGATACATAAGTACAATTTAAATTGAACTCACCTTAGCCTTGCTTTGATTCGATTCTAATCCTTCGATTGTTCTGGAATGAGATTACGCTCTAAATCTACATAGTAATACATTGATACTTATCAGCATACGAATTGATATATTTCAAACTATAAATCCTTAGGCTAAAAGAAAGTTATTTCCATCTCTTATTGAAGGTATGCATCGATGCACTACACCATGTATCGATGCATCCCTTGACGGGTGCATCAATGCACTACCCATGCATCGGTGCATAAATCCTATTCGATGTTTGTATTTTAAGCAGGTGCATCGATGCACTCCTTATGCATTGATGCATCCATGGCATTCGATATTCATTTAATTTAAATGAGTGCATCGATGCACTGCTTATGCATCGATGCACTCCTTATGCATCGATGCACCTTCAACAAATTCTGGGATTTAACCTTGATGCATCGATACACATTGAATGTGCATCGATGCACTCTGGCCAGAATCCTCTTTTTAAACCCGAAAATTCATCATTTTTTGCTTAAATCCTTCATGTTTCATCCCCTTTTTCATTCTTAACTCCAGTACACACACTTAAACCAATCTGTACTCATTTATTTCATCTTAAACCTCAAAATCCTATCCTTCATATGAAATTAAAAAATTACGTTAATTTCACAACATGTGTTAATTCCACTTCGTATGTCTTAACTAGATTGATGACAAGTCAAATTTAACTTTCAATTCTTATTATAAACTCTATTTCAAGATTTCACTCAAGAACTCCAAATCTTTAATCTTCTCTAACTCCTTTATCTTTTGATTTTAAGATAACTTAAGCTTTCCTTAAACTTAGTTATCCTCTAATGATCACAACCCATACTTAAAATCAACAAATAATCAACTAATCAGAAAACTTACCTTTGCAATGGAGACACGGGAGGAAAGGAAGAAGAAGAAGAAGAAAAGAGAGTTTCTGGAGAAATCTCTCAAGCTTATCCCATATAAAATCATTATATTATCCTTTCCAATTCAAATGACCACTTTGCCTTCTAATTCATCTAATAATTACTAACAACTTTTAGGATTTATTTCCAAATAAATCATTGAACTAATCCATTGTTCTTCTTTAGTTACCAAATTTTGAAACTTTACAATTTGATCACTAACTAGGTATTGAGGATGTTACATTACCCCAAATCAAAACCCTCGATTTCAAAACCTACCCAATTCCCATTCCTTCGATTATTAAGCTAATCCTATTTTTCTGAACCCAAACTCCGTCTTCTGTTTCCCAAGGTAAAGTTTCTCTCATTGCTGGGAAAATAAATGAAAGGGGGTGGAGAAGAAATCTTACCAGAGTATAGACAAAGAAAACGATGAATTTTTCGCAGAGGCAATCTCACGGGGAGAAGAAGATATCGCAGAGGCAAGCTCACGAGGAAGAGAATGGTATTTTAGCCCTTAAGCACGGGAATAAAAATATACCTAAGACACATGTGGGAATAACATTTCCAAGAATAAACAAAAAAAAAATTACTATTGGTAATGGGATATTACCCTCACTTGGGAATCTTGCCCATCCAAACATGGTTATATTAATCAGGAAAAAAATATTCCTGGTGGGAATGATAAATACCTTGATCCAAACGGGCCCTTAGTGGTAAAAAGAGAGTGTTGTTCTTCTTAGAAGTCTCGGGTTTGAACAGTTGCGTCTGTTGGTATGTGCTCATTGTCAATGATTAAGAAAAATTCTAAATAGATACTACATTGTAATTATTTCAGACTATTCAAAAGAAAATGAACTCGAAAATTTTATTTAAAGATTAAGATAAATTAAGATTTCAGAAAGATCGTAGCAACAAAAAATTTATATTATAATGCATTAAATTAAGTTATTAATTCATCAAAAGGCCCAATTTTTTCATTAATTAAGGAACTAATAGAGATTAAATCAAATTTCCAGTCACAAAAAGGAAGAGAAAAACTGTATGAAAAATAATTATAAAATTGCAAGGCAACAAGTCGGCATGGGTAAAGTGGTGATATGATTAAACCAATAAGTTAATGCAAAAGATTTGATGGATTATACACATGTAGCCAAAAGCAAGAGCTGAAAATGATGTCCAACATTACATTGCTTGATCTCCAAACCCTATCTCTTGCAGTCCTCAAACTTTGTCATATATTTTCTGCTTTTGCCTTTGCCCTTTGTTTAAAGCCGGTCCTTATCTAATCTCTTCTCCATACATTTGTCTCGGAATAATTACACAAAAAGGGTCTTGGAATTTGCATTAGCGACGCCGATTATAATCCAATTTCCCTTTGAGCCCACCTTTGTTCATTGGGGAAAAAGTATGAAGAAAAGGTGCCGAAAAGAGTGAATTGTGGGATACAAGAAAAGAAATTACAAAGTGACAAAGGGGTGTTTTTTTTTCTTAGAATGGGACAGAGATTAAAGCTCTTGTGATAAAAAGCAAAGCCGATATTAGTTTTCATAATTGATGAGAGAGAAGATTCTTAGCTGATTCATGAACTCTAAACCATTCAATTATTAGCATTCAAACACAGAGATTATTATGTACTTAAAAGCTTAATTAAATCATATTATATAGTCCTAACATGCCCGAATCAGAATTAATTATTACAAGTATACTTAAATTAATAATTAGAATATTCATAAACAATCTATATATGATTTACATAAGATAAAAATTAAAATTGAAGGTGTAAGGATCAAGTACCTAACATCCTTTAACAACTTTATCAATATTAATAATTATCAAATTTTAATACTTATTCTCGAATTCTAAACTCTCTTATCCATAATAAAAAAGAGATTATCCTTTTTATCAATACAAATGTGCATGTTCCGTTTGAATGAATGATAGAAAATAATTTTTATCGCCTCATGATATTACTGTTTGGTATAATTATTAATATTTAATTCATTGATCGATTAATTTTAAGATTTTTGAACTTCAAATATTGCTTAAAAATTTTAAACGTTTCATCCAATCAAACTATCTTGAAGTTAGAATTGAAAATATTATTTTAGTTACTACAAAACTATATAAAGTAAACAAATTATATGTAAATATAATCTAAAAGTGTAGATGAGGAATTCAACCTTTCGCCAACCATATGCTATAAAGTAAGCAAAAGTTGTAATTACAGCCAACATATCCATCTATTACATCACTAGAAAGACACTTGTTTCCTTTCCACAAAAGTGTTCACTAATCATACACTCGGAAACAGATTTGTAGCCATGGTTGAAAAGCTCCAGTGTTGGCAGTTCTTAAGCTTTTTTTTTCATCTTAAACCGCAACTTTCTATTCACTTTGATCAAAGGCACCTGTTTCCGTACCATCAAAATGAAAAAGAAAAAAAAAAGAAATCGAAAATTACAGCTAAAGGGCCATTAAAGAAGCAAAAGAATATACCAGATTAAAAGGGTTCTTAATTATATCCTTAGCAGCGTGTTTATTTATTTACCCCCTGCAGATTTTCACATAGAAAATGAGAAGAGGGTGAGAAAATTTGAAAAGCAAAAGGGAAGAAGTTAAAGTAGAAAGTGAAATTTGTATTTATGTACCTTTGCCTTTCTCACAGAGCTTTGATAAAAATGATACAAAGAGTATGAGCAAAGCAACTCCTGCAATGAGTCCTATTAGAATTGCCAGCGTCTTCTCGATCTCATCATCGTCGTCGTTCGTATCTATAGTGTATAACATTGATTTATTAGGTTGGCCATGGGTGAATTATACAAATATACAACTAGGGGACATATTATTGACCACATCTCCATCAAATTAATCCACAAAATATGAAGCCACTTTAATTTTTTTTGCTACCACACAAAAAGGAACTCGCAATCTCAAGTAAGGACGGGTATAGGTTAGGTTGGGTTTTTGATCGATACAAATTGATTAAAGTATTTTATCTTATTATTTGTTATCCAACCCAATTTCTATTTAGGGAGACTCATCCAACTCGAATTTTGAGGAGTAAAATTTCGTACTCGATCTGACCTAACCCAACACAGATATAAATATAACTATATTTTTATTAGGCAACAGATATATAATTAAAAAATATATAAAGAATATATAATTTTATAATTATTCATAAATATTTAAAGAATAATTATATTATTTTTCAGGACGGTATTTTTAACCCTAAATTCAATTATAACCTTACTTTATTCTTCAAAAAACTTGAATTGACCTGAATCTAATTTTTTTTCTTAAAAGAAATTTAATCTTATAAAATCAGGTCGTGTCTATATCTTATACTCATCTCTAATCTCAAACATAAATATAAATTTAAAAACAAAATGTTAAGAATTTACAATATTTTCAATAACTTGGACTCACCAAATAAATAATCATGAGAAGTTTTATATTGTATGTTTCATGCAAAATTATATTAATTTTTTTAGAAATAAACATTTGTTTTGCATTATTAATATAGTAATATTTTAGAGGTCGAGGTTTGAGGAAGCCGTTTACCGTTTCTGCTGTGGGAGTGGCTTCCACCTTCCGAGTACCGCACGTAGCACTTGGCTAAGTACATGTCACCCCATTTGGCCGCCGCACACTCTGTTTTGAGCTGTTCGATCGCCTCCGATAAGCAATCTTGGCACTCACTCGGACTCAAATCCCCAACACACTGTGCCACACCCTGTAAATCCCCTGATCCGCCAACTCGGAACGGCTTGTATGTCCCATCACTCGATCCCAAGTAACCCAACATCGCATCACGACGAGTCGATTCGTCCGAGTAAGACGAACTCAACGGCCCACATTTCTTCACCACCACAGCCTTGTCCTCCACGCCCAGGAAACTCGTATTATCATACTTAACGAAACACCCCTCGAGTTGCAACGCCCCACCTGTCGAGTCAAGGCAAAGAGTACCCAATTGACTCACGGCTGTCGCCACGCACCGGCTACAATCACCGCCGTCTAGGTTTCCCCGGCACTGGAACAGGCCGTATACTGTGTTCTGAGAGGCTGTGCCCGCAGCAGCAGGTACTGTAAAATTACTGTAAGAGGTGTACATGGCGGCGTTAACCAGTGAAGTGAGTATGGAATTCACGTTGGACTCATAAGGGGAGCCCGACGTGTATTTAAGCTGCGAACAGCCGCCGAAAACGAAGGAATCGGTGGCTGAATTCGACGGCGTAATGAAGAAAAAAGATATAACAGGAAGAAGAAAAAGAATTAGAGACGCCATGGGGAGGAAAGAATTGTTTGAAAGAGAATATGGAAAGGAGAGTGAGGGATGGCTTAAAGGAGAGGCTTTCAGAGCATTAAAAACAAATGGACGACACTGTTTTGTGTGTTCGAGAACAAAGAGGATTGTTGCTTTGAGGGGAATTTACGTAAGGAGGACACTAGCTTCATATTTCACATGAATTTCCATTTTTGATTTTTTTCCATATATTGTTATTATAATGATTATTAAATCATTTTTACCAACTGCTTTAACTAATCTAAGAATTTAAACAGTTTGTTTAATCATTTCAATAGATAAAGGGGATTTGGTATCCTATTATTAAGTTTACAGCAAATAACTTTTGAAATTTAGTCCCTCTGCTCTTGTATTCTTGAATTTGATAATACAAAAGGACATATCAATATAAAATTTTGGAAACTCACTTAATGATTTTATTGGTAAAAAAAAGTTATTTTTAAAGGTCTTAGATTTGAGCTTTAAGTGTGTGTAGTCAACAATTAAAAAATATTCTGAACATATAATATATTATAATTACATCAGATAATATAAAAAAATGTAAAACAAATGGGGTAAAAATTCAGTGACTTCTACTGTACTTTAACCAAACAATTAAACCAAGCCGGGGGCTATGACTTAATTTGACTAATTTTAAAACAAAATATATACCTTAAAAATAATTATACCATAAAAGTTTAGGGTAGGTCCCCTTCCACAATCAACGTGGCTTCATCCCTAATAATACACATTTGAAATTAACAAAAGTCGGTTAATAATGTTCTCAATTAAACTTTTATCAAACAAGTAGAGAAACTAAACTCTTGGAATTATAAGTAAATGGATTAAATTTCAAAGTCTTGAAACAAAAAAGGATTGATGGCATAATTAAACCTCTCTGGTATTAGTAACATTTTAAGAACGAAGTACTTCAACGAGTAAAGTTTTTAAAAAAACTTTGGCGAATATGTTATTGACATATAATTCATTATTATTAATAATATTTGTAGTAATGTTGTAAGAATTAATAAGATATCTATGAATGAAAAATTGTTGGTTTTAATAAAAAAAACAGTTGGAAAATGAGATAGTGATAGCTACTAACTAAATGTTTTAATTTAAATTTGATTAAATAAATATGCAAATATAATATGAACAAATAAATTGTTAAATTTAATTTTTAAATATATTTCTTAATTGGAAAATATAATCATTGTATAAACATACATAAACAATTTTAATTTATTTTTCTATAGAAAGTTAGATGCCCCTTTAGAGCCTACACATTATGACCACATATCATCTTATGGGTCCTTTCTATAAAGCAATAGCCTTTTGAAACAAACCAAAAGTAAGATGGGATTTACTTATTATTACAACTCTAAATTAATAATATGGGGTTTAATATTTAACATGGTTAGAATTAAAATTGTCAAGAAAAAAATATTTTTTATCAACAATATTTAATTTATTGACTGCCTAATTTGAATCGGATATTACAAATGTTTATTATGAGGATGATCCCAATAACTCAATTTATTCTATTCATAACATCAAGATTCAAACTAGTAAAACAATTGATTTTTAATAAATATGTGTTTTACTTATCACAAGTCATCTAACTTTATTGACCCATGACTAATGAAAATGTAAAATAATTGTTCATAGGAAAGTTATTGACTATAGACTTCCATACCATCTATAACATGTGAAAATATGAGAAACCAATTCCTACATTATGTAAAAATATATAATATTCGATTAGAATTTATAAAAAAAAAATATTTTTTTTAAATCTGATTTGTATTCAATCGAATGCATCAGATCAGGTGAGTAGCACGACTCTTGAACGAGTTTAAAGATGTATTGATGAAGGGTCCTTTTCCTTTGATATTGAAGAAGGGAACCTCTATGTTTGGTACACTAATGCTCCCATATTTATGAAAGTGCTTGGAAAATCATCTAAACTCTTTTTTGACAAGGACTTTGATTCTACAATAGTTACATAGTTTAGGGCATATGCCTTCTAGATTGGGGTCGCAAAAATTAATGCACCAACCAATTTTATTTTTCACAATAACATAGGTTTATATGCCCTTCTTCATTTATCTTTTTCTTTTGTATTATTTCTAACTTAATAGTTTTATTAAAATAGTTGTTCTCAAATAAATTTGAAAAAAAAAAGTTAAACTATGATATAAAATTTATTTTGTGTATTGTTAGAGTATTTTTTTTTAAAAAAATTACTTAAATCCTTTAAAAAGGGATTGGTTAAAACATAAAAAATTTGATAACCCTTATTTGTGATTTCCCCCCTCTTTTTAAGTCCAAAAGTCTAACCAGAACCAGAAGGCAGGGGCTACGCCGGGGGAGGCGGGTCTCTTGGTTTAATGGAAAAATTATAGTTTGGTGTCTGTAAATTATCAATAATTCAATTTAAGTTCTTTTTAATGATTTTTAATTTGGATAGCCCCCCACCCCAAATATCTTTTTTTTTTTGCAAGACGTGAAATATTGAGTATAAATTTAAACAATTCCTTTCATAATCATTTTTTAGATATTCTTTTGAATTAGGGGAAAAAAATACTATTCTTCTATTCATATACAATTTTACAATTTTTTTCTATAATTAGTACAATTTGTAATCCGAAGTTTCCTACCCTCTTTATTTAAAAATAGTTTTTCGCCTTCGCCCTACAAATCAGTGGCGGATTCAGAAATTTATAAATAGAGGTCCAAAATTTTTATTTTCTTTTCTTAAAAATAATGGGGGTGCAGAATTTTTCCCCCCCCCCCTAAATAATGGGATGCACTTGACCCCTAGAGGGCTTAGTGCAGCCGCCCCTGCTACAAATAAGACATGCTAATGATTACTATTTAAATTAGATTTAAATAATTCAAAGGAAATATTTAGTAACATGATATACATTTTTTATAAATTATTATAGTGAAAAAATATTTCACAAATTAGATTGTATTGATGTAATGTGTTCTTACTTTAATTTTTTAATGCAATTAAAGAGCACACCAAAATCATATAATTTCACTTGTGAAATATTTTTTATAAGTTAGTATATGAAATAATTGTTATTCTTATATAACTACTACTTTTCTTTTGAAGGGAAATTTCTTTTCCAATATATCTTAACTTTTTGCTCTGGAATTATAAAGAATTGAAGTAACCCTCTGTAGTTTTAACAAAGATTAGTCACGTTCATGACAATTATATATATGTGTGTGTATATGGTACTTATTAAATACCAAGAAGCTTCCTCTTATAATGTTAAAAGTAGTTGCTTCAAAGACTAGTGGTATGTGTTCAAGTCTTTGGCTCATTGCTATGATAAAATGAATGCTTTTCTTAGAATTCAATGATCTCTTAAATTTTTCGTTGTGAGAAAGTTAGATGCATGCATTCATTAAAATTTATTGGTTCAAACATTGAAACGTTCCTCGAAAATAAAATTCACATATTTTTTAATATTCTTTTGTTTTTATAGGATTTTTAGTATGGATGGATCGAAATAGCATCAATGGGGACTTTGATTGGACGAGGGCAGGGGTGAACTGGGCAAAAGGGCCCTGACTCCTAAAATTTTATAAAATTAATATTTAATCCTTAAAAATTATTAAAAAAATTAATTTAAGTCTTTAAATTTTTTAAAGAACCCTTCTCAAATGTATGACCAACAAAGCATGATGTGAAGGAGCAAGAAGGGGCATCAAAGAGAAAATAATGAAGAAAGGGGAATGTCACATTCAATAATGAAATAAAATGTCCATATTATAAATGTATATTTATCAAAGGCGATGAATGTTTTGTCATTTGCTTTTATTACGTGCCCACAACACTTTGAGGTCTATGGGTTTAACCTCCGACCAAAATATTGTCATTTTGCTAGATTAGATAAGATTTAAGAGCAAGCTGCATCACCAACAAATGTCCCCTGCTTTTTCTATCTCCCCCCCTTTGATTTAGGGTTGGATCATGCCATGTTTTTCAACTTTGGAGTTGGCAAATAATCATCATAATAAACCAATACATACCCTCCATTATATATATATATATTATACTTATATGTACTTGTGCCATCGTGATGGTATCTCTTGCCACACAACATTGTTGTTGCCAATCATGGCTCTTGGAACCAAATTATTAGGGTTTGATGAGTCGAGGATAAACTTTGAACTATAATTGGAGTCCATCTATGATATCTTATTATGTAAATTTCACTATTCTTTAGAATGTATATTTAAATGTATAATAATATATTTTAAATGTCAAACTTATATTTTAAACTATTTTTAAATTCAATATATCTGTCCAAACTCTTCCACCTCATATTGAGAGACTTTAGACTTATAAAATACACGCATAATGTAAAATTTACACTTGATGTTGTAAGAATAATTATTTTAATCTTTCTTTTTCTTTTAAGTATTTTAGTCATTAATAATTTGTTCTTTTTTTTTTTATTAAAAATATCATTTTTTGAATGAAAATTGTTAGTTGACTAATAATCAATGTTTGCCACTAACATGACATTTTTCACATATGCTTATGTCACTTCAATACCTAAACATGCACAACAGTCAACATACACGAAGTGAGCACCTAAACAAACGTCACAAATGCCATATCAATACTTAAGTACATCACATATACATGGACATAACTACATTAATATTGAGGGGGACTGTTACCCTAAAAAGATTACATTTAATATATATATATATATATGGATAATTTAAATATTTATGAGAAAATTATAAATTATCATCTCACTTTAAAAAAGTTATACTTTGTCCCTTCTAAACTGGAATTCCTGACTCCATCTATGATAACATATGCTTCGTTAGTAATTAGCCACAGGTAAGGATATCACGTCAATAAATATCAATTATTAGTCAATTAATATTTTTCATTAAGAAAATCATTTTGATAAAAATGAAATGTTGAATATTGAAGTATTTAAAAATAAATAAATATTAAAAAGACTATTATATCAAAGGGAATTTTAAAATTATACCTAAACTATAAAATAATAAATGTTATCATATTCTAATTGTCTGGGAATGATGTTGGTTTCTTTTCAATTGATGAGTCAAAATCAGACAAGAAGTGCTTGTGAGGGGGAAATGGGTTAAGCAAAAAGCAAACATTATTAATAAATTGATTGAGTTTTGATTAGTAATTCAAAAGACAAAAATACATGGAAAATTTGATAAGACTTGCCTATTATTTCACTTACTTTTATAGGTTGTTCTAACAGCTGTGGGAGGGGAGGCCCATTTAGTTCTTTTCCAGTCGTAAATGCATAACAAACAGAAATTTTGTAATAATATTAAAATTTATATAAAATATACCTAGACTGTCATGAACATGATTCAAATAATATATTAGATAAATTACGCATTTAATCACTCATATATTATCGCAGTTCCGTTCTGATCACCCAATTTTTTTCTTCAAAATCACACCTAATTTTAGATTTTAATCATCCGTCGCTAAAAAATTAACAACAATCCTGATATGTCTACATAAAATAATATCATGTTATCATTAAAAAATAAATAAAAAATCATCACATCAATACTTTTGTTTATTTTTTAACTACGAGTGACCAAAACATAACATTATGTATGATCTTGAAAAAGAATAATTGAGTGACCAAAGTGGAATAACAAGAATAAGTGAGTGACTAAATACGTAGTCTACCCTAACATGTTTTATGCTTGAAATCATTAAGCTTGCAATTTAAATAAAATCCAAAAACGGAAGATCAGAAATCATGGAAGAAACTAGGCATGAAAATGCACAGAACATATGTTGTCCAGAAGAAGGAAGCTTCTGAATGGAAATGCAACTGCAATTCAAACATTGTTGGAAATAATAAACTTCTGATGGTACAGACATAGAGGCGATATAACAATTATCTCAATCGGTAAAGATTTCAACCTCATCTTTGTCCTCGGGTTCGTTCTAAATTACATGACATGGAAACAGAAAATAAACGAAGAAAGAAAAATAATAAAATGTGTTCACCGACTTCGACACGGGTATTAGCATAAGTTGTACAGTTTTTAATGTCATCGTATTCATGAAGAAGTCTTGATTTATTTCACCACCATTGGCATTTTGGAACTAAGCCTGTTGCTGGAATTACCTAATGTATATATATTTTCTTATATACATAATGTTCACATGCAACTCCAGTGATTTCAAACGATGCAACACTTGGACGTTAAACCCTTTTGGTCAAGCCTTGCCTCGTCATTGCCTAGGAAAATATTATCACAGTTTAATTTTTAGTTTTTTACATGATAAGCATCAAAGCGAGAACATTCGGGCAACGGGGAATCAATATATTTCAAATTCAGTTGTTCAATATGCAAATAACCAGACTACCATTCCATGCAACAGCCAATACTTTATACAGTACAATTTGACTATCCTCAATAACTAAACTCACTTACGAATAGAGACTGGCTTAAGAAAACGACATAAAATGAAGAGATTATAAGATCTACACACCTTCAGGTGGCTGAGCTAGCCTCCTGCTCTGTGGAGACATCATTTCTTTCTTCAGCTGAGTCAATTTGTCTTCCATTGTATACTCCCTTTGCCAATTAGCAAGCATGGGGAAAAGGCTAGGTTCAACCTGGCAATATAGCAGAGCTATAAGTATCATACCGTAGCATAAAAGGTTGTGAGAAAAACATCCCCTACCACTCCGGTTTCCTGATTTACGCAGGTCATATTTATCCTTGTTTGAAACCTCACACTTGGTGGATTATCTGGATAATCCTTGCCACAGAACAGCTTCAGTTGGTATATACGTCCTTTGTGAACAGTCTGACATGCATAAAAAAGTAAGATATCAACTTACTAGGTGGATTAAGGGGAATCATTATTTGTTTTTGATAAGATGGGAATCATTAATAATTACAGTTTCAAATGCAATGGTAACTCCATTAAAGTCGCATAAGGTGTATGCAAGTATGCACGAGACAGATAATAAGGTTAACAAGTCAATTTTCTTTACTTCATCGCTTTTTTCTGGTGCCTGCTTAACTAAAAAGGCTCTCATTACATTATACAAAATCTTATCCATGTATGATAATCCTTTTCCTCTCCGTAAGGTTGCCTAATACTACCCAAACCACCTCATCATTCTATAAAGACCTAATGCCCAACAGCATTGAACAAAAAGCCATTCAATCTAATCTTATCCTTTGCACCAAAGACCAAACTAGACCTAAATGACTTGAAATTACCAAGAATTGACTGTTTTATCAGTGATCAGGTATTTCCTAAATAAAGAGATAATAACGACGGGGATAAACGAGAAATGTTGATGGTGTTTTGGTATGTTCCATTCGTGAACAAAACATATCTACATCAGGATGTGCTTCCTTAATATAGTTTCTCAAAATAAAGAAGTTGGGAAGATTTCTAATCTTAGTTAAAGGCATTAAAATTATAAAATACACACATTTTATACTTTGTCATAAGCTGAGAGAATAATTGGTGTATTTTAAATGTTCACAGCTCCAGCTAAATTGAGTTGCAAAAAGGATTTAGATAATAGAGCTTGTATATTATACCTCTAGGTGACTCAGTTTTAATAAGGCTCAATGGGTTTTGCAGGTAATAGCTTAACTTTTCAAACAGTGTTTTTTCAAAAAAGCAGGTGAATTATGTGATAAAATAGGGACATAAAATAGTCAGGGTTGGATGGTAGAAACTCATAAGCATCTCCTATAGAAAAGTACCAAGAAAGGTCTTTTAAAAGATCGTAAATATGAAAAGCACTACTCTCTTTTCATATGTTTCAACAAGCTATAATTGTCAAAATATAGGTGAAATTAGGCCCGTCAACTGTATTCTACCCTGTGGTGCAGAAAGAATAAAGCAGTCTTCCAATTCAAGCAACAGACTAATTTATGTCTGTTATCTAAATCTCAAATATCTCAAGGATGACGTTAACTTGCAAAAGCTTACCTACATGTAGTTTTCAACTTCGAGGTTGGCTTAGACTCGTCATTGCACATTTCCACTCAAATTCAGAGACACATGCGCCGACTACTGAAAAGAATAAGAGAGAGGGGGGCTCACATTAAGGGGGCCAATAATAGTCCCAGTCCATGACTGCATGTATATATCATCAGCATCATCCATCCCATAGCTAACAGTTCCATCCCCAATTCCCTTTTCACCCCTCTCAAGCTCTTCTAGCAATCTGAAATTCCTGGGCACTGCAAAAGACCGGACATTTTAGCCCCTAGGCCATAATTGTAACAAAGTCACATATGAAGTTTTTACGAAGTCCATCTTTTAAAAATGCAGTTCTCAAAAATATTAAAAACAAAAGTTTCTTCAATAGAAAAAGGTAAAATCTAAGACTATAAAGAAATGCTTGCATGGTATGTCAGGAATGCAAAACGGTCAACGAGATACCAGAAATAACTGAGTAATCCCGATAGCATACAAGGTAAACCACAAACATTTGTTTACAATGTTCAATTAAGACGGCTAGCACTTCATAAACAGTTGCATATGTATCCCACATCACAAGTACTGTTGACTAATCTCATCAAATTCCTTCAGAAGTCGATCAGTGGTTTTGATGTATGAAATGTGTAAAAGAAAAAAGTTACTTCAAAGCTAGTACAGTCCATTCATCATAGTCAAGTGGCTATTTTAGCAAAGTTTCAAGCATTTTAACCGTTATTTCTTCTTATTTTTGAATATACTCGATCAGCATCAATATTCTTCACTTGAAACAAGGTACATAAACAAATGTTACTAGATCTAGTTAGTTTAAACATATTGCAATGGCTCTGTCACAATTATAAGCATCATGAATAACCTTAAAATTCAGACGAGTACCTGAGAAAACAAAGTGAAAAGGAAAACAAATAAACAAATAACAGAACTATTTTAATCCAAATATCAACAAGGGTTTGATCGATTACAAGTCGATAACCAAATGAAAAAGACAAGATCTTCAAGAATTTTTTGTTATATAAAAACTTGCTTCTTCCATTCTATCCCTACAAATTCAAATAGTTTCCAAGTATAAGGGCACAAACAAAAAGTCATAAATATTTCTATTATTTGATCCCCATCTCACACTGGTAACAAAACCCATTAAAATTATAAAATACCCTGTAAAAATTTCACCACAAAGCCTATAGAAATTCTCACCTTGAATATCAAACCAAGCACAAAAACTCCATTCTCAAGCATCTAAAACCAAGAAATTAAACTAAGCAAAAGAGCATCAATATCAAAACCAAAACCCTATTTCTACCAAATCCAAGGATGATCACTCCCCTAAGGAAAACCCCAGAGATGCATATACTTTCAAAGCAACATCGACAATGGAATAATAACAAAACTTCAGGGATAACAGAAAAAAGAGGAAATTTGAGTAACAAATAAGAGAAATATAGGGCTTTGCAAATCGAGAACTTACCAACAACACTTGATCCTTCCGTACCCATTTATTCCCTCGATCTGATATATTCAAAGGGGGGAGGAAGAAAGAACAAAAAATTATAGTTTCCTTTAATTCAAAAGAGAGAGGAAAAAACCCAAAAAATTTTGGGAAAATTATATAAAAAATAAAAGGAAGATGTAGAAGGATAAAGGGGAACTGTTAAAGGAGAAAGCTTGGAATCTGAAATCGAAAAATCAACAACCAGTGTTCAAAACTGACTTATGAATGGTCCACTGCCACTTTGTATCGGTCACAGGCTGATAGGAGAAAGCAATTGGAGAAATAAAGAAAAGTAAAAGCCTTTATCACTTTTCTGTTATTTATATTTATCTTAATTTTAAAAAAATAAATTTAATAATATTTATCAATCTTAATTCAATTATCAGTTCAATAATATTATATAAATAGTGAGCTCAAAAGTAGTTAAGTACGCATTTTTCATCGATTTAAGGAATTTAAAAATCATAATCAGTTAAGAGTCTATCCGTATTAATCATGATAAAATCTTAGAATTAAGAGGATAATAAAAAAATTATAATAATTTAAATATTATATAAAAAGTGATTAAGTGATACATAAGGGATGAATACATGCTGATTTTTTCTGATCGTTTCTGATTTTGATTTAAAATGAAGATTTTTATTCGATTTTGAGTTGCTCTGACGTTTAGTCAAATTTCATTGTCTTAATTTTTGAATAAAAATTCGCACAGATCCAATCTAAAAATTATCCCCTCAATCTATAATAAAAAAACTTTCATCTAGATCATGGCAACCAGTTCTAGGTGCAGGTATGAAGCAATTAAACTTTAAACTTTAAGCTTGCTCTTCTATCGACGCCGAAACCACCCATCCATCTCTTCATCGTCTGAAGATTTGAGCAATTCCGACTTTCTCAGACTGTCGCTGCATTTAGATTCATCATTTTGCATTATCCTTGTGGGATTTTTGTTCTTCTCCGACATCTCCAACGTTGACTTGCATTTCCCGTCTGTTTCAAGTGGCACAGTAGGCTTACTTCTAGTAATGGGAAAATCAAAGAACTTCAAATTCTCAGTCCCTGAATCTAAGCATTCTTCATCTTCATTCTCTTCATGTACAAACCTCCATCTATCTGAACTTTCATATCGCTTTCTGTCTTGCCCTTCGAATTTACTGATGCTGCCTTGAAGTCCACCAGTGGATGTAATTGAAGCATTCGACACTTTTGGCCGTTTGTGGTCACATTTCAAGCATATCATATTTCGTCTGAAGTTAATATAGTTGCACCTGTGTAATTCCAGACATTCGAATCCATGACATAATATCAAACAAGGCTGTTATACTCGAGCTTTGGTGAATTCAAAGGACATTGAACTCAAGAGAAAACTCACGATTCACATTCCCATTCCCCGGGATTGAGATGCCGCTTTGGAGGTTTCTCTTTGCATTGCAGACATCTTGTATTCTTTGCAAAATTCAGGAAGTTGCATCTGTAAGAATTGAAAGTCTCCATGAGGAATGCACCATTAGAAACTCAAAAGACCTTTAAGAATCAGTACCTGTTACATATCCAATCTCCCTTCTTTAATGGCAGATGATCCTGATCTTCCCGTAGTTGCCTCAGTCTTTCTTCAAATAAACCGTCACAGCGCAAACACTTGATGTTTCTTGCAAAATTTAGGAAGTCGCATCTAGCAAACGGAAAGCAAAGACAAATTGGTGTCACAGTGCACAAACAATTGGATAACCAAATTTTCAAATTGCAATAACATTAGTTTATCAAATTACTTGGGACAAAGCCAATCGCCTGGCTTCATTGGAACTTTTATTTGTCCTTCTGTACTTAAATGATCTTCTCGTGAAGCATCCGCTCTTGAGGGTGCAGCATTTGGCATGTCAGCTCGTTGATCCTTGCTGCCATAATCAACCACTTCTTTCAGCAGTCGCCTCACCGATGCTTTAACTAATTTGTTTTGACATGGTTTGTTCTCGACAGAACAGGTAACAGAGTCGAGACCGTAGGTCAACAAAATGCGCATCACATCCACGGTCCTCCCACCTTCATCTTCACGTGCCTTTACATACGCCCTATCACAGTTTCCTCTCAAATTGCAGGAGCTGCATACCTACAAAGAAAAAATAGACAAACAATAATCAGGAACAAGAAAAACAGAGAATTTATCTTTGTCACTTACTACATCAACTATATGAAACAATAAATTGAAGACGCCTAGTATATACATTCCCTTCATCAATGCCTACATGAGCTCTTAAGCGCTTCCCAGAATTGACAACTTTCCTATCAAGGCTCGGGCATCCGCATCCTACAATGACCTGAATATCTTTCCTTGAGAAGTACCTGGAAGCAAAAGGCTCTTCAGAAACACAAAACATCTACATATATTATCAGTGGAAAATATTATCAATCAGATTATATGCATCGAAACTCATATAAAGATACAAGTCAAAGATAAAGTAACTCATGTTAACACTATGATAACAAGAAACTCTCCATTACCTTATAAGACTAAAGCGATCTCTAGCGAAATTAAGGCAAGCGGTGCGGATACTATTGGCTTCTTTCGAACCCAATTCGATATTTTCAAAAGGGTTTCCATCTGCATCGAAATAGCCTCCCCTCAATAAGCATTCCATCAAATCCACCCATTCTTGCCACGGATGAGAAATCTGCACTGTTGATTCATTCCGCGTCGTGGGTCTCTCATGACCAAACGGAACGTCGACTCCCGGCGGTGATTGGCCACCGTGTGAACTGGGTTTTGAAAAATTGAGCTCAGCAACCTCATTAAGAACAACATCAAACTTTGAATTCGGATTTCGGATTTTGGCCGAGCTGTGGGTGTACGAAATGGGAATTAAATGGAAATCAGATTTCCGGAAATGGATTTCGAGAGAAGTGTAGAGGAATTGGTAGCTGGTTCTAAAAAGCTTCATCATCTAATGTCGATTATTTTGGCGGAAATGTTATTGGTTGAGCCTTAATACTCTTAAATTTTAAATAAGAATTTAGATGTTTTATAATTAAATTTACATGAATATATTTATCAATTAACAAATAACTAGTAATTTTAATATTAATTTTCAATAAATTAGTTGAATTTTTAATAATCACTTATTTAACTATATTTTTTGGGTGAAAATTAGGCTGAAATAATACAAGTTAATAATTGAGTGAAGGAATCTTTTATCGTCTGGTAAATTTTTTTAGTGATTTGCGACGATTATAAAGTATTTATTTATTATAGAATTTTTCTTAGTTTATTGATGATCCAAAAACACATTGCAGGAATCTCTTTTAGTCTCCTTGTTTTCATCATTTAAAATACGTGAAAGAAGGCATGGAGAGCAAGGCCCATGCAAAAACTTAAAACATCTACCATGCTGCCACTGTCTCCTTGGGCCCCTATTTACAGACAATGAGTTCATCTTCGATTGCTACTAAACCAAACATAATTGAAATGTTTTTCTTTCTATTGCTGCAAGGAACTCAGTCTTTCAACAAATATGGCCAATGCTTCCTTCATCCACCAATGCTGGCAGACATCCCTCGCTTCTGTCACATTCATCTGCACAATTTAAAATAAATAATTAAAAACCGTGATTCGGATGTTATTTAAGTAAAACTCGAGATTTAATTCAGTTGGTAAAACTCGAGATTTAATTCAGTTGATTCATGCAGTAAATGGCTAACCCAAGTCCGTCGACGAACATGCTGCTCCGGCCAGAAATCGAGTTCCTCCTTCACAAGCAAAGGGAACATGTGACCTTCATAAAATGTGCCATGGCTTTTGCTTATAAAGTACCATTTCCCCAATTCATACTGTGTTCATCAAACACAACTAAAATCAGTAACTTTGATTTTATACAAGCAACTGCCAGTACAGTTTTAACAAGCAGGACTAACCTCAACATTGCCAATAACTCCTGCTTCTTCAACCGACTCTCTTGAAGCAGCTTCTTCCCTGGATTCATCAAGCTCCCAACCACCCTAATAATTGAAAAAAAAAATCAAACAATTGATTAATAATGCATGATTTAATGGATACTTTATATTGTAAATGAAAATCCATTTTTGGTTTGCAGTACCTTAGGAAACATCATCTTTTGACCTTTCTGTGAAGATATTAAGAGAACCTCCAACTCATCAGTAATGGTTCCATCATTGCTGCATTTGAATCTATAGGGAATGCATCTGCAAATTATCAAAATTTTGAAGAAATTTATGAGTTTTTCTCGTCATTCATTGAATAAAAATCTGACCAGAAAGGGGGGAAAGGAGCAAAGTCAAACTCACCCGACGACTTGGCGGCGTCCGAGGTTGTCGTAACGCTGCAAGTCCCTTCCGGTACGAGAAACCAAGCAAACCATCCTCGAGGAAATCGAAAGGAACAAGAAACCGAAAACGATTCGAACAAACTTAGCCGCAAATGAAATTTAACAAGATTTTTTTTTTGGGATTTATTGCAGCCGACGACACAAATAACGACAGTGGTTCCCTTTTGGAGTATCGGAATCTGGTAAATACAGACAGACAGAAGATCACCAAAGAGGTTTCAAACTGGAAATGGAAGATGTTGGAGCAAATAAAGAACGGGCATTTATAGAAGAAAACAAAGAAGACAAAATAATTATTTATTTATTTATTTATTTAATTCACAATTAGTGAATAATAGTTATGAAAAAAAAACTACTTTTAAAATCGGGAACGGCAGGTCGAGGAACAAAGAAAATCGAACCGGCTGGTGCCGAACTCAGACGCGCCTCTTTTTATTAGCTTCGGTGCCGTCCCGTTTGCACGTACTGAGACTTCTAGTCTATTTGTTTTAGGCTTAATATTAAATTCAGTCCCATATTATTCTTGTTTTCTTATTTTAGTACTTAAACTTTTGTCATCAGTTTTTTTTGTTATATGTAAGTTGTGAATATAATAATTGTATTTTAATTTATTCAATTTTGTAATCTTGGTAATTTTAAACTTTAAATTTTTTTATCTTGACTTAAATAATAGATGAGTAATATATCTAAATTATAGGGATTTAAAATAATCAAACCGGAGAATAATGACTAAATTTATACATTTCGTATAAGATTGAAACTGATAAAAGTGTTTGAATTAACAGATTTAATTGTTACGTTTGGAGTTTTGATCAAAATTTTAAAAATATAATTATTAAAAATTAATTGAAATAAGACTAAATTCATAATTTTCTCATGGTATGGGGACTAATATGAAATTATCACAAAAAAGCGTTGAAAGATTGTGATTTTCTAAGGTCTTATAGCCAACACGGACACGGTTTGGTATGCGTTAGCAATGGGATCTCCTGTATAAAACCCGTTGACTTGCATGTGTTTGGAGCATGCCTAATTTCTCAACTTCTTTCCCTTGTCGGCTGTGTTTCTTTGAAGACAAAATAATATTAAAAATTGTTTATGAGGTTTCATTTCTCTTCTCTATATAGTTAGGAGTGTGGTTCCTAGTGATCTAGTTCACGAACCACAATGTCTTTTAAATGATAACGGATTAGTTTCATCTAACGTTGATGGTTTTTTTTAAGTAAAAAGTTATAGTCGATGAAGTAAATATTATTGATCGATATTTTTCTGAAAGAAAGTTAAAAATATAAAATAAAATATTAGAGTAAAGAAAGTGAAGAGGAATTGTGGTTGAGAGAAATTTATGATGATCTTAATTGATAGTGTCAGACATAAGATAATTATAACTATTTGTATATTAGTTGGTTAAAGAGATTTAATTCTCATATATTAGATTTTACTCTGATATATCACATGAGTCTGTCAAAATTATTTTTTATGCACTGTAATTGACTCGAAAACTATGATGCTATTATCAAGAAAATATGAATTCTTTATAATTTTCTATAAACGAAAAAATATATCCAAAAATCCCAAAAAACTAACAGTTTTTAGAAGTAATCTCTTGAAGTATAACGTGCATAAATTTTATTAAATATTATAAAAATATTTTTTTTAACAATACATAAATTTCGATTATACATATAATTTGATACATAAATTTTAAATTCATATAATTGTATATTTTATAATTTTAATTTAAATCACACTCTATATATACAATTATATTAAACTAAAATTCACATAGTAATCAAACATTAAATCGAAGTTTGAAGTAATAAGCGAAGGAGAGCATACATTTTTCTATGTTACTTAATAATAAGTAAAATAAAATAATCTAATGTTAATATGTTATCTCTGCATACAAAAAGAAATATTAAATAAATTGAAAGCGACAGCGTCAATATAAAAATATTATAAATGATAATTAAATTAATCTTAAACAGTTGTTATCAATATAAAATAATTCCGTTTGTTTTTTTTCTTTTTACTTATAATCTAAGGCTTCATAGCCAGCCACCGTCCTAGCAGAAACACATGGAGATCAATATAAGAAATTAAAAATCAAATATCCCATAAAATAAAAAAAAAATAATAGGTATTACAAAAAAAATATTAACACATTTCAGTGTTTGCCATCTACTTGTTCGCATATATATATATATATATATATATATATATATATATATATATATATATATATATGATAATGTATATTATATTTTCAATGATTTAATTTGAATTTAAATATTAAAAATGATAAAATAATATTAAAAACTTTATATTTTATTTTTCTTTACAATAATAATTCTTTAGTTTTTCTTTTAAATTATCGTCTTAAGGGACGACTAGTATCATCGTCTTTGTTTTTCCTTTTTCTTTTTAAATTTTTTAATTTAATCTAAATAACATCATATACCTTTGGGTTTTTTTTCTTTTTGTATCTTGAAGTGTTTGTTTTTATCTGTGTTTATGACACGGTTGTTCATATGTTTTTATGACACAATTTTATATTTTGTTAGGATAGTATGGTGTTTTATGTTACATTTATCAAGACATACCTCATGATCAGGAAATGTCTCGTATAGTTGAATCATCTTTTACGATAGTTTATCAATGTATTCCTAATTGTTCAAGAAGTAATTTTTCATATTTGTTTTCTTAATCTTCACGCCTACAATAATATTACATATAATTTTGAATAAAGATAGAGAAATTATTTATGATTGTTAGATTTTTTTGGAATATTAAGCATATGTTCAAGATTAGGTTTTGGTTTTATTTTTTCTTCACGTTCTTTGGGTTTTCATTTTGAGTTTGTGTTGTCTTTGATGTACCTTGTCTATTTGTTTGATGAAAACTAACTTTTTATTAGAAAAAAAATACACAAACCAAACGACCTCAATGGTTAAAGGATGATTGTTATTACTAAAGGTCTCAAATCTTTAAAACATAAACTACTTTATAATCATTGCATATTAATAAAACAATCTATAAAAATTATTCAAAAAATATTAAAAATGATATTATTAAAAGTTACAATCATAAACTCTAAAATACTATAAATGGTAAAATAATATATATATATATATATATACATATAAGTTATATTTGAAATGGAACCTGGTAGTTCTGCGGTGCGGCGCCTAAAAACGGCTAATATACGGCGTGACCGGTTAAACAAGTGACCGGTTAAAATTTAGACCGGTTATGTTATATTATTTAACCGGAAATATTATAAAGTACAATAACATACTAGGTAGCGCTTATATAATGTAATAGGTAGCGCTTATATTTACCTATTTTATAAGTAAACCGGTATATTTATACCGATAGCATTGCAAATTTACCTATTACATTATATTATATTGAAAGTGTCCATACTTTTTATAAAAAGGATCGATATTTCTTTTAAAGTTATGTAATTTATGTTTCAATTTTTTTTAATAGTGTTTCATGTTTTCCACCTACAATATTAATTTAATAATTTCATTTGCACAAAAAATTATTTGATTGTTTTGATATTTTATAAAATATTATTTAGAATTTTAATTTAATAATAATATATCGTAACGTAAAAAATAAATCATTAGACGCCTATAATTACTAAATTAATATCTTAAAACTCACTCAAAAGATAACCTTAAATTAATGTTTTCCACAGTGAGCATTGCAAATTTACCTATTACATTATATTATATTGAAAGTGTCCATACTTTTTATAAAAAGGATCGATACTTCTTTTAAAGTTATGTAATTTATGTTTCAATTTTTTTAATAGTGTTTCATGTTTTCCACCTACAATATTAATTTAATAATTTCATTTACACAAAAAATTATTTGATTGTTTTGATATTTTATAAAATAATATTTAGAATTTTTAATTTAATAATAATATATATCGTAACGAAAAAAATAAATCATTAGACGCCTATAATTACTAAATTAATATCTTAAAACTCACTCAAAAGATAACCTTAAATTAATGTTTTCCACAGTGAAAAAAGTATGGACACTTTTATAAAAAGGATAGACACTTTACAATATAACCACTACCTATTACATTATATAAACGATACCTATTACATTATATAAGCGCTACCTATTACATCATATGTTACCTATTATATGAAAGTGTCCATACTTTTTATAAAAAGGATCGATACTTTTTTTTAAAAGTTATGTAATTTATGTTTCAATTTTTTTAACAGTGTTTCATGTTTTCCACCTACAATATTAATTTAATAATTTCATTTACATAAAAAATTATTTGATTGTTTTGATATTTTATAAAATATTATTTAGAATTTTAATTTAATAATAATATATATCGTAACGTAAAAAATAAATCATTAGACGCCTATAATTACTAAATTAATATCTTAAAACTCACTCAAAGGATAACCTTAAGAACACTTGAAGAAGCAAGAGAACTACCCCAACTATCCAAGCAATCAAAAACGAGAAAATCCCAACATGATAACAACTGAACATATCATATCAATGTTCAAACTCAAGTTGTAGATTTTGATTTCCTTTTGCTTGGCATCATATGAGATTTGAATTTTGATTTCCTTTTGCTTGACACCATATGAGCTTTGGATTTTGATGAGCATCGGAAGTATTTCAGACTTATGATTTGGGTGGTACTCAACTTATGATTTTAGTTGCTATTTGTTACATTTCTTGTATACCACCCAGATCATACGCCCGAAACGTTTCTGACGCTTTAAAGTTGACCAAAAAATAAAATGGTCGGGATTTCCCTCGCGTTTATACGTTGGAAAAAAAACAATGGAAATTAGGAATAATCAATGATAACATGCATATTGGCTTGGGCTAATATTTATAGTGGAGCCGAAATATATATTGAAATTCAAACTCAAATTGAAATTTAAATTCAAACTCCAATTACATATGAAATGAATTTGAAATGCAGTGTTAAATTGAACATGAAAATTGCATAATTGATTCATACTGTTCAAGTAACATGCTTTATGAACCATCAAGCTAAAAGACAATATTGATTGAGTTCAAAGCTGAGTTGTGAGTTGATGG